TATTTTTTACTCTTTTTTTAATTTAAAGTTCTTCATTCCCCCCAGCAGTATTGTTATTTTTATTTCATGTTCAAATGTTCAATAAAGGTTTATTTTAAAAAAACGGTCGCTGTTTTGGCAGCAATGAATTGTGGGTAATACACTTCACCGAAGTCCGTATAAACGCAGACTTCACGGAAGGGCGGAAATAGTACCCAAAATGGGCGGGGCTAAGGGTGTATGTGGAGAATGTGGGACACACTACACACTTCAACATGAACACAGATTTGAACGGGGGTGGGAGTGGGGTCCTGGGACAGGGCCTGAGACTGAAGACGGTTGATAAACACTGAGCTTTAAACCAGACTGAGGTTCTGTTCAGGGTTTAGGTTCTGTCAGACCCTGATGAACCGTTTGGACTCCAACACTCACTGTTAACCACCGCTGTAGCCAAGATGGCCGCCATGCCCGCCTGCTGGGGCAGCAGCTGGATGTCGGAGTGCAGCGCCGCCGGGTACAGAGGCTCCTCCTTCACCGCCGGCTGCTTCTGAGTGAGCAGGGAGAGCGAGGAGGAGGAGGGAGGAGGAGGAGGGGACAGGGAGGCCAGGAGCTTCTCACCTGCAGGGATCTCTCTGCTCACCTGACAGAACAGCTCCTCACCTGGACACACACAGGCTGAGGGTTACTGACAGCCCGGCTCAGGTGGGGGCGGGGCTTCCTCTGGAAACTCACCTCGGCTGTAGATGGAGCAGTTTGCTGCTGAGGGGTCAGAGGTCAGAGGGAGGAGCCTGATCCAGCAGTCTGGATCTTCACAGACCAGAGTCTTCCTGGACCTCTGGAGGAAAGAAGAAGAAACGGAACGTTTTAGCTGTTTAATCTGCAGCTAAAACAACAAAAACATTCAGATTAAACTCATTAAAGCCTTTAAAAAATGTCCTGGAAATGATTGATTTTGGCCACAGTTCATCAGCAATAAACTCTTCTGGCTACTTTTGTTGACACAATAAAACTTTTTAGTTATTTAGTCTTTATTTTGGCAGTGCTGTTCCTCCGTACAGTTAATCCAACTCTGGCTTTAATTTGTGTTTTTAATCTCTTCTGGGCATTAACACGTGAAATATCTGCTTTAATCTGAGAGCCTTTAGTCTGCAGGGCTGCAGATAATCCCACAGAACCAGAACCAGACATCAGCCGAAGGTAAACAGCCTGCAGGAGCTGCCAGAAGGAAATGAGAGCCAAACAAAGCAGCCGAAGAAGAGGAGGAGGTTTTCAGCTGTAATAAGATCCAGAGCTGATAGACGAGACAAAGACAGCAGTTCTGTGGAGGTATGAGAGAAAAACACAAATAATCCCACAGAAAACCTTTCTTCTCAGCTTCATCCATTAAAAACACTTTAAAATAAAATCTTTAACCTCAGACCAAAAAGAAAGTTTCTGTCAGAATAATTCAGTCAAATCCAAAATATTCATTCAGACAAACAAACTGAGGCTTCAGATCAGCTCTGATTTTACCTGATGAAACAGTTCCTGAAAGAACTCACATCAACAGATTCACCTGAACGCACCGCTCTGCAGAGACACACCTGCAGAGTGTGACTGACAGGAGCTGCAGCTCTGCTCCTCCTCCACCAGGAGGAGCCACCTGCTCACACCTGAGCCCTGAGACCGGCTCAGGTCTGAGGAGGAGCCACCTGCTCACACCTGAGCCCTGAGACCGGCTCAGGTCTGAGGAGGAGCCATGGCCTCTGACCTGAGCCCTGAGACCGGCTCAGGTCTGAGGAGGAGCCATGGCCTCTGACCTGACCCGGGTCACCAGGTGACATGATCCACTCTGCCTTCAAACCTGACATACAAACATCAGCTAAAGTCCTCCTGGAGCAAACAAACATCAGCTAAAGTCCTCCTAGAGCTAACAAACATCAGCTGAAGTCCTCCTGGAGCTAACAAACATCAGCTAAAGTCCTCCTGGAGCTAACAAACATCAGCTAAAGTCCTCCTGGAACAAACAAACATCAGCTAAAGTCCTCCTGGAAAAAACAAACATCAGCTTAAGTCCTCCTGGAGCAAACAAACATCAGCTAAAGTCCTCCTGAAACACAAACATCAGCTGAAGTCCTCCTGAAACAAACAAACATCAGCTAAAGTCCTCCTGAAACACAAACATCAGCTGAAGTCCTCCTGAAACAAACAAACATCAGCTAAAGTCTTCCTGGAGCTAACAAACATCAGCTAAAGTCCTCCTGGAACAAACAAACATCAGCTAAAGTCTTCCTGGAGCTAACAAACATCAGCTAAAGTCCTCCTGGAGCTAACAAACATCAGCTA